GATAGTCATGATGATAGAGTTAAATAAAAAATGTTGCCGTTTATCTAATAATCCTTCACTAAATCACCCAAAAGTGTAGTGAATAAAATCACAGTTTGTTAGCAAAATAACTTTGTTTTCGTTGTTTAACTCAGTTCGAGTATGAAAAAAATTCAACTCTGATTGTTTGAATGGAGCGGTTCAATGTATTCCTGACTGTGACGTTAATGCTGACACAGTTGCATGATTGCCCAAGCAAGAAACCTTTTTTGTTAATTACATACTCATTGAAGAAAAAAAAAGTTTGTCTTTCCTATTTATACCACCCGTAAAAAGGTTAAAACAAATTTCTATTGGCATGCCCGGACGTAAGGCATCGAAGTCGACGAAAAAACCGCTGCGGCAAAATTTCCAGAGGACGGATTTTCTTTCCAGTATTTTTGTAATCCACCAGTTTAATTTTAAATAATATAACTACAGGGAGAATTTTAATTTGAATAAATTTCGTAGTTTCTAGTTAGCTAAGTGACGTCTGGTCGCTATGACATCAAAAAGAATAAAAGAGGTTTACTTTATTTGATTAGTTTCTTTCCAAATTAAAATCACTGGCGGGGGAACAAGAAGCGAGCACTGGCTAAATGAAGTTGTCTTACTGCAGGATCTTGCAAATTTTACAGTGAGTAGCTAAATTTAAGGCCCTTGGAAGGTAAAAATGATGGTTTTTGCATTTTAGTGATGGCTGACTAAATTGCTTGCTTGGCCACTGTAAAGCGGGTAAATGTAGATTGCGAGACATCCAGCTGCTCACGCACGCGGATGCATTTTATGCTATACAGGTCGCGTTTACAGCAATATGTTCCTACTCTTTGTAGTCCATGATAAAAGGTGCTAACTATAAATTAACGGACACTCATAGAAAATTGTAATTTGCCGAAAACTACGTGATTACGGAATTTGGCTTTAAGTGTGTTCGGTCGACCAATGCTTATTTATGGCCGTTCCGTAGTTATCAACCAGTCATTATGGATCAGTCATCTCGTATTTGATTTATTTCTGACTGCAATAAAGGTCTTATCGAGTCTTAGATTCGACGCAAAAAAAAAGACTAATTTACATCGCGGGGACTGTATATAAAAGTAAAATTCGATAAATATGAATGCAATCAGTTGTATTTCATGTGACAGTGTGCCAATTGTTTCGATGACCAAGTTTCTTTGTTACAATATTTAACGGCACCCAACGACTGTTTTCTGTAAAATATCTGTTCGGACAGGCAAATTTTGACTAGAGTTTTCTATTACTTGAGGAAGGCTAAAAATTTCTAGGTGACTGTTCCATTCATGTGCAATTTTCGAAGCTTATCTAATAAATTCCCTACGATTTTCGGAAGTTTAATTTTTCACACTTCACCGCCCAGGTTAGGCTATTTTTCGCAAAAAAGTAAACCTAAAATTTTTGGATTTAAAAACGTGATGGAGAGAGGAATCAGAAAATTCTCACTTTCGTTAAACGTTAAATTGCATCTAAAAATTTCTGGGAAATAATAGTGAAGCCCTTGTAATTTCGAAAAGACTCAAGTTACCCAAGATGACCGAACAGGTACAAATTTTACAGCGCCGCTTACAATGCATTTCTAGAGATCTAAAAGTACTCTGGATAGCCTAAAAAGTGTTTTCAATGTATTTCGGAGGAAACCGTCATTGGATGCTCCTGAATATTTAACTCTAAGGGCATAAGAAATCTAGTATGTAAAGTTTTTAAACTTTTAAGAACATTCCGTGCAGATTTAGACTCCCCCAATTAACTTACCTTAAACAAGATTACGTAAATAAAAAGAAAATGAAAGCTTTGTATGTTAACAAAAGGTTATAAGGCTATTTTTTGTCATTTTCTTTGCTTTATAATATATCATTGAAGTTCATTTGACATGTTCTTACAAATCAAACCCGCGCCAATATAATTTTCAAATGGGACCTAATAATGTAGGCTTTCCTTCCATGTCTCCTTTTGTTTCAGGATAAGACTATTAAGAGTGAAATTTATGCAAAATTCGTGTCTATGTTCTAATATTAAGGTTAACGTTCAGTAAATACGTTGCATTACCAGACGCTACGACGAACTGGGTTTTACTTCAAAGCACTTGATATTGTGCAAGTAAGAAATAACGGAAGCGAGGGATAGGAAACGTAGGCTTCCTTACAGTAACTGGTATATCGTTACTCTGTTCGTATCTGGTGCAAAAAATTCTGAAAGAAAGGTTATTGATTTTGTGACGCACATTACATGTAGATGACGCTAAAATCTCGTACAACACATTTCACAGGCAGACCAGACTCGTTTGAATTTGAATTTTACGAGAGAATGCCGGGATTGAACAAAATGCATCCCAAATTCTGTCTTTTTCACTAGGATTCCAAATAACATAACTAGCCTTATGCTTGCTTCAGCTGTGTCTTTTACTGTCTGTTCGCTTAAGGATCTATTTGGAAGGCATTTTGGCGATTTTAGATTTCGTGTTGTACTAAGGCACGAAATTGCTGTATGCTGTTGAATCTGAATACCTAAAAAATAAAAAAGGTTGACGAGAGATTCTCTTGTTTTCTTTAACAGTAACTAAAATCGTCGTCGAGTAATCATGGGAATTACAGTGTCCAAAAGAAAGAAGAAGAATGTCAGGAACGAGGAGGTAGTGTGCTGTGTCATGGTTCATTGAAAACGTAGTTATAAGACTGGCATGGTTATGAAGCCCAATAAACTCCTTCTTTATGTGGCTTTTATGGACTCAAAGGTTCACAACATCAAATAGCACTCTTACTAACCAATAAAAACATCGCTTTAAAATATTCCGTTACACTTTGTGCAAAAAAAAAAAAAACAACGACAACAAAGGATTGTACACCATCACACAGTTCCTAACATAAATTTTTTAACAACATTGTTGTTTTTTAATTTGACGCTTGCCCGCGGCTTTCATAACCTGTGTCCTTTAGTAACTATTGTTAAAAGAATGGATATTTTGCAGTTTTTCTTACCAGTGACGGTGATGCTGACTCACTGATACTATTATTCCTAGAGTAAGTTAATTTTCAGGTGTTATATCATTTTCTAATAAACTTTACATCTGTGAAAGAGAAATTTAATTGCCGGGCATACCAAATAACTTTTGCATTAGTCAGTCATGCGGTGCCATTTTTCAGTATCTTTCAAAACCTGGACCAAGGCACACATTAGGTTGGTTTGTAAAGGACAGAGACAAGTTTGATTCAGCCTCTGCACTAAGCAGCTGAATCCTTTTTGGCACTGATAGAGCTTCGAAATAACACATGTCAGTTCAGTCGAAAAGAAAACCTTGGAAAATTCCCAGAGTAGACTGAACATTTCAGATTTCTGTATTTACGCTGTTTTAAATAAGTTTCATGATATCGCTGGCAAGGAGAATGAAAAGCATTTATCAAGATGACATTTTTTAATTTGTAGGCTGGGGAGAAGCAACGAGACCCCAACAGTGCTGAAGGTGAAAGACATGAGGACGAAAGGGAAGACTCTGCAGAAGAACAAATGTTCGATGATAGCGAGGGAGAACAACTGGGGCAAGTAGAAGAGGAGGGCAGCGACAGTGACAACAAAAGCAATGAGGCAGAAGATGAAGATAATGAACCACAAAACGAAGAAGACGAGAAGAATGAAGACGATGATCGAGAAGAAGAAGAAGAGGAAGAAGAAGAAGAAGAAGAAGAAGAAGAAGAGGAGGAAAACGCTAATGAAGAAGAGAAGAAAACAAAATTGCTTGCTAATTACAGTGAAAAGCTACAGAAGGCCTTGATGGGTGACCTTAATAGTGACTTTCCAGATAATGTCAAGATTGTTCGAATCTTCACCAGCTCGACTTTCACGGGTAAATAGATAACATAATATCAGATTATTGTGAATTCATCAGTGTACGAGAGAAACAATGGTTGTTATGGCCTCTGATTAATTTTTGACTCTTTACATTTGGTTGCAAGTAGTGTATCTAAAGGTGAACAACACTTCTTCATTTGCATAGTAAGGAATGTAAAACATACTGTGACAAGCACATCCAAAGCATCGGACTTTCACAGAATCAATTTAAATGATTTGAGTACAATTTGGTACTCCTTGTTGCAGCGCAGCGTCCTTGTGGAAACCATGTATATGAGAATAAAGTATCACTCCCTTTTCAGATACTTCGGTGGAGCGTAATACCCTGATGGAGCGAGTGTACCCTCGACTCAAGTCCTACTGTCAAGAGAGAGGCTATGACTTTCAAGTGGTGGACATGAGATGGGGGGTCCGAGATGAGTCTACTGATGATCACATGACCACTGAACTCTGCATGAGAGAGCTGCGAGCCTGTCAAAAGCTATCCACAGGACCAAACTTCATTGTAAGTTTAATATCTGCAAGGATCTCCTATCTAAATACCAGGAGTGAGCCAGTCATAGATCTTTGTTAGAGAGTTTATAATGTCGTTTTCCATCCCAAGACAAGCTTAGAATACAGACCCCTTTTAAGGTGAGTCCACCTGACTCGAATCTCGACAGAGATTCACAGAGGATAGAAAAGGAGCGTCAAAAGGAGTGCGCCTTCAAGAAATGAGCAAACCAGATTTCTCAAGAACTTGTAAAAGTATTATTCAATGTTCGGGTTTATTTCATTTTCAGACTTTTTTAGGACAAAAGTACGGCTACCGTCCCTTTCCAGCCACAATTGCTGCAGCAGAGTTTGAGAAGCTCCTTGGGGCAATTGACACAAAAGAAGATCTTCAACTGCTCAAACACTGGTTCTGGCGAGATGACAACGCAGTTCCCGCTCAATATTTGTTGCAGCCAATTACGTCATTGCTGCCTGATTATCGCAACTTCGAAAACAAAGAGTTACGTAAGAAGGCGTCCTCTGATTGGTGGGCAGCGTTTGAGAGAATGCAGGTTGTTTTGAGAATGGCTGCTGAGAAAGTTCTGACAAACAAGAGAGATCAACATAAATACCAACAGTCAGGTACATTATATCTGAATTTAAGATTAACTAAGGATACTTGCCCATAAGATTCAGAGATCGCTATTGTTCCAGAAGAAGGAGTCCATGCCCGGGGCTCCAGTCCCAGCTCGGTTTGGGTTTACTGGACATACGTTTTTTTATTCACCGCACGACTTTCTAAAGGTCCTGTTAAACACTAACTTGTTTGAATTTTTCTTTCCAGTAACTGAGGATGAGATCCGACGAGGAATCATCAACACACCCAGTCCATCAAAACACTGTTTCTGGTTCAAGAGAGTCATTTTAGATCTCACTGCTAACATAGATGCAAAGAACGCTGGAAAATTCATAGACAAGACATGGGGGGAGATTGTATCCGTAGATGAAAATGCTCAGAAACTTCTGAGCACCCTTCGTGAAAAAGACCTGCCACGTGTCTTACCTAGTGAAAATATCATGACGTATGATGTCAAGTGGACTGAACAAGGTGTGGACCCCTCAGTGTCACCAGAACATGCCCAGTATATAGAGAAACTCTGCAAAGACTTTTATTCTATTCTGACTCAAATGATAGATACCGGGATTAAAGATAACGAGACCTCTGACTCCAGAGATTCTTTTGCTGAAGAACTGTTCCAACACGGTTCATTTTGTCAGAAGAAGTGCAAATCATTTTATGGGCGAAAGGAATTTCTGGAAGCCTCAAAGAAGACATTGCTGGAACATGACAAGCATGCTGTGGTACTTCATGGGGAGTCGGGCTGCGGGAAAACGTCGATCGTGGCCAAAATTGCCAGCGAAGTCAAACAATGGGTCGAAGATGAATCTTCCATTGTCGTTTTGCGATTCATTGGTACTTCGCCCGATTCATCTAGTATCAGACCTCTTCTAAGGAGTATGTGCATCCAACTGTGCAAGGCAACCGGAAATATACCTGGGAATATACCAGAGGTAATTGTACATACCTGTAGATGAATTACAATAGGAGGCATTTTCCCAGTCCCAGCTATTACCATTGTTTTCGCTTATTTTATTGGGCAAGATTGGGCAAGCTGTTAACTTGAAATGAGCGATAGGATAGACTAGAATAGACTAGAAACCTGACTATCGAGTGACATTCGGATGACTTCTGTAGAACTGGTAGAACGCGGATACTTACAGAGTGACGCATAGCAAGCAAAATCAACTAACAAGGCTGCGGGAGCTTCTCCAAGGACTCAGACGTTTTCTTGTACTGTCGTATTATCAAAAGAGCACCCCTTCTTGGCATACCTTTCTTATTTGAGTTCCGTCTTTGTCTTCGTGCCAGATGTTTCCTGCATTACCAACAGGTTTTGAAATTCAGACGAGGGACACACGTTCCCCCTTAAGAGTGCCTCATTATTGATTTACATAAAATAAGTTACTTGAGAGCTACATTTGATCCTACGATGCCATTAATTAACAGTGAATCATGTATCCTTCTCCGTTAATTACCACACCTAGCTTTACCATCTCTCTGAATTTTCATAGCTCAAAACCTCAAAAAGCATGCTATTAGACCGATCACTTACGGAGTGTAGTTTAATCTCTCGCAGGACATGAAATCACTCAAAGACTACTTCCAAGAATGTCTAGAGAAATCGGCAGAGAACAATCCTGTCATTCTTGTTTTGGATTCTTTGGATCAGCTGTCTATCGACGATGGTGGACGCCAAATCGATTTCAACACTACCCGGACAGGAATATCAAGCACTACCTAGCTTGAGAGTAAGATTAACAAAAGGCTTCTAATGCCCCGTTTTGACTATCACAACATCGTCTCAACATTCTCACCACTTTTATGCATAAATATTTGCGTTTCCATAGTCTGCGCATGAGGTGAGAATGTTGTAACGACCACGAGGCTCATTCGTTTTATAGAAGTGCTTTGTTTAGTGTTATTGTGCTGAAATGTTCAACAAATGAGTATACTACTGTGTTAAACAGATTTCTCGTCATTATAATAGAAAGCATTTCACAGCCAGTTAGGAGAGTACTACTTTAACTTGGTTTTTGTTTGTTGGTATTTTTTTCATTTAGATTTTTCAGGGAACGTACCCTGATATTACCGGTGCTTGTCCATACTTATTATTATAATATTGCTTGAAATATTTCCTGATCAGTTTGTCTTATTTTTCTTACTTTAGACTATCCTGCCAAGTGAATGTTTTCTTGAAGTACCCAGAATCCCTCTAAACGAGGTCGATGTTATCTTTGATAACTGGCTTAAGGCAGCAGGTCGTACCGTACTTCCACAACAGAAAAGCTATGTTATCGGTGCCTTCCAGAAATGTCCTCTTCCTCTCTACCTTAAACTTGCGTTTGATGAGGCCTTACGCTGGAAGTCATACACCCCCGAGTCTGATATTTGTCTTGAGCAAAATGTGAGAGAGATAATCGATGACATGTTCCAACGATTAGAAAGACGGCATGGCAAAATTCTTGTCAGTCACGCCTTGGCTTACATTACCGCCTCCAAGAATGGTTTGACGGAGCCCGAGCTGGAAGATCTTCTTTCTTTGGATGATGAAGTCTTGAATGACGTCTATCAGTATTGGACGCCGCCAGTCAGAAGACTTCCGCCGTTATTGTGGATCCGTATTAGGTCAGACATTGGAGACTATCTCACAGAGAGAGGTGCAGATGGCACTCAAGTAGTCTTCTGGTACCATCGTCAGTTTATAGAGGCCGCTCGAGAAAGATATTTGACAGCTAAGCAAGCTAAAAAGATTCACTCTTACATGAGCGATTATTTTCTTGGCAAGTGGTCCGGTGGTGTGAAGAAGCCATTTGAGAATAAAGAGGGCGAAAAGAAGTCTATGGACAGATTAGTTGCTAAGCAGCCTTTGATGTTCGACTCCCCGGAAGGAAAAGAAATATTCAATCTTCGCAAATTGAGTGAATTGCCATTCCACCTGTCGCACTCTGAAAACTTAGACGAAATGAAAGAAGAATGCCTTTGCAACTTCGAGTTTCTTTTGGCAAAGATTCGGGGTACTTCCGTACCACAACTTATGAGCGATTTTTCCTCGTATCTTGAAGTAAGGCCTGACGATGATGACGTTCAACTCCTGTACGAATGTTTACAACTCTCAGCCTATTCACTTTCCAATGACAGAGGGCAACTTCCAACTCAGATGATTGGTCGTATGTACAACTTTCTCCAGAGACAGGAGCAGTATCCCCATGTCTACAAGGTTTTAAAGGAGGCATTAAATGCGTCCACAGATTGTTTCCTTCCAAACAGAAAGTGTTTGACGGCGCCAGGCGGAGCCCTTCGTTCTGCAATTGGTCTGACGCAGTCCGGCGTAGACGTCATCAGCATGGGTAACGATAACCGCACTATAGCAGTCACCAGTCAGACCTCAGAGGGATTGCTGATCAAAATCATTGATTATCGCAGCGGAAGAGAACTTAGAAAATTCACCATCACAGAACCAACGGATATGTACCAAACAAATTTCAATCAACTTAGCCAAAAAGATCCCGACTTACTTATCCTTGCTGGATCGAGTAAAATATTCCTTTTGAACACTTTGACTGGGCAGATAGTCCAAGAATTCGAGGTTACAGATGATGAATGGTTTTCTTATCATCCCCAGGCTCCAGTACGTTTTGCAGATGACGAAAATTTGCTCGTTGCCATATGCCCAGGCGCTTTAAAGATTTGGGATGTAAAAAGTGGAAAGATGCTTCATCGTTTACCTCTCACCGATGTAAACAGCGATGATGAACTTGGCAGCCTGGACGCACGTGGTAACTATGCTGTTTACAACATTCGAGGAAAGAGCACAGTTCATTTCGTCAATGTAAAGATTGGCAAAGAGGTAGACAATATCACCCTCAAGTACCCAAAGACAAATCAAGGGGAAGCTGTTTTTATCAAGGAAGTCAAAATAACATCCCAAGAGCAAGTGGCTGTGATTCCATCCTCCCTTGATAACATGCGTTTGTACGATCTTTCCGGGATTCTCATTCGTGAGCTGCCTAATTTCAAAATGGAACAAGGTCTTCATCGATTGCAAATCAATGACGACGGTAAGAGGGTAGTCACTGCCGATATGTACGAAATCATCACCTTGAATCTGGAAACTGGGGAAGTAGAAAGATGCCTGAGAAGCCCGATTTTCCGTCTACGAATTTACACGCGCGATGGAAACAATATATTGGCGGTCGGTCAAGACAACATTCTCCGTGTCTATGATAAAAGTCGAGAAGAGGATGACGAAAACCAGAAGGAGACTGTTATTACCAACATTCAAGGCAACACTGTTGCTGATCAAATAACGGCTATTTCGCCTAGCTTTGACCAACGTCATGTCCTGGCAACGACTATCGTTCAACTTAGGAGCGGAATCGATGTGTGGGACGCTGTAAGTGGCAAGCGCGTTCGCCGACTGACAGGTCTCACCGTGTTTCCAAATCCCATACGCATGTTTACCGCAACCCGTGGAGTTGGGTTTATTTACGATCAGAATCTTCCTCATTACAAAGTTTTCAACTTTGTAGAGGGAATCATCGAGAGAAATCTCGAAGGAAAAGCCTGCAAAAGAATGAATGCTTTTGGGTTCATTGACAACAAGAGGATGATGTCGTTTTCTCGTGGACGACGATATGTCAAGTTGTGGGATGTCGACAACGGAAAAGTGGTCAAAGTGGTCAAATTCCGAGAAAAGCGACGCTTTGAGGAGATGCTCATCAGCAACAACGGGAAAATGGTTGTTTGTTCCCAAGCAAGCCAGATGACCCAGCACACCGACAAACAATTGCACTTGATAGCTATTGACACAACCACTTTTACTCACAAGTGTTTGAGCTACAAAGGAGAACAGTTATCATTATTCAAAGCCAGCATATCAGACGACGGCAATTACCTCGTGAATTTGGTTCAGTACTCGCAGCCCCTACTTTGGGATCTTCAGACTGGTAACTTGATTTGCAAACTCTTTGACGCAGAAGAATACGAAACGGCCAGTGCAGTGGCAGTTTCCGGGTCCTCAAAGAC